TATATATATATTTAAAAAATCCCTAACGACACAAAGTTCAGAGTAACGAGTGACGTTGACAAAGTATTAAAAGAGACATCGACGGTCGCTGCTGAAGCTAGGAGCCTTTCATTTCATATTTTAACATGAATATAAGTAGCATTTAAAATATGAAATATTTCTTCTAGCAGTATTTCACTTTATATTTAAATAGCACTGACCAGAATTTAGAAGAGACTCAAACAATGTGTCGAGGTTTCCTTTAATTCTGAGCCCTTTGTGCGTTGCTGTCCACCTCCGTGGTGCTGAAATGCGCACGGCCTAAGACGCACAGAGAGCGTCCTTCAACGGGAACAAAGCTTCATAAAAGTAAACAACTGACCTCTGCTCTACACAGGTCGATCCACGTCTGTCATCAGACATACATTTACCAGACATGACCAGACAAGTCCTGGGATGCTATTTACGCAGCGACTACTCCCTGTCCCATTTGTGCCTCTTTACCTGACAATATAACGTCTGCACGTTTATTTCAGCCCGAAACACAACTTTTATCACAAGCCTTCCAGCAACACAGCACAGCAAAATGCGGCGTAATTCTCCTTTTACATGCCCCCAATGTTTTCCGTGAAAGTGGCAACACTCAGGACTTATAGAAGACGCAAACGGTCTCTAAAATCTGATCACTCCATTCACAAATATCTGCCCCGAGAGTCATATTCAAAGCCTTAAAAATATATGACAAGAGACACAAATTCAGTGCAACTTCTCTACAATATCACTACCAACTATTATAATTAAGTTTTACATGTTTTGATTTCTTACATACCTGCGGTCCGACGGCGGTAACAAGGTCACAGGATCTTTGAGAATGACCGATAGCATAGTGGCAAATACATATGTACACACACACACATACACACACACACACACACACACACACACACACACACACACACACACACACACACACAGAGAGAGAGAGAGTCAAATTTTATTTTCATCAAACATAACAAAGCAGTCTAACAATCTTAAGCAACTCGTATTTTCATATATTTTATAAATGACTGACGACTGAAACATCACAGCAAATATGACTCATCTGGGTCGTTTCTTTGCATTTACAATTTAAGCAATTTTAGCATAATATACACACTAAAATATAAAACCATACTTCACAGTATATTTTAACAGTCTTGAGAGTAGAGACGTTTGCTTTTGCTTGTGCCCCAACGTTTTAAAAAAGGTAAAATCAGCTGTTTCTAATGAAATTATAGTATTTACAGTTTCCCTCTGTTAGCTAATAAACAGTTTCTAAGGACAGGCTTATGGATAGATTATTTTAAAATGCATGCAGTTTGACAGGACATACATTTACTCCTGTTTTTATAAGATAACATATACAACACATAATCACCTGCCATGTGTGTGTCCAGCTGAAGAGCCACCCATGAGCATGTTCAGCCTCCTGTCCACGTGTGTATCTCATTGTTCTGCAAGAAAAGACATCATATTACAAACTATTACATTTACTGTCACTGTACATACAGTGGAGTCTTTTTTTTCTAAGTGAAACATGCTCAAGCACACACACACACACACACACACACACACACACACACACACACACACACACACA